TGTTTTCTTAATATGCATTGATTACTTGTCTTTTCTCGTTTATATGGGTAATTTAATCAAGAGTACTTACTCGTCTCTGTAGTGGCTGGGTGTCAAAACATAGGAACTCTATTAAGATTCTTAGTCTTATCATGCTGCTGGTCCTGGTGGGGAAAGAGTAGTTATTTTTAAAGGATGGAACAATTGTATTTTTATTAACCTGACATTTCATGACCTCAATTTTAATTAACATAAAACAACCTGTAAGATTTATTTTTGCTTAAGAGATCTTAAATATACTCAAAGCTAATATTAGAATATAGCTCCTTTGGGTAATATACTTTAGTTGAGTTGAAGAAAGGAATTTTTGTTTTCACAGGAAAATGAGATCTTCAGATAGTACCACTGTATGCTGGAGTATGTTAAAGCAGGTTTCCCAACTTTCTTTTAGTTAATGATAGATTTTACTCCTTCTGTCCTCCCGTCCTCCCATCTTCTCTCCCTCCCTCCCTCCTTTTTTGCCTCCCTCCATCTCTCCCTCCCTTTTTAGACAGGGTTTCTTCTCTATGTAGAACTGGCTATCCTGGAACTCCCTCTGTAGACCAGGCTGGCCTTGAGCTCAGAAATCCTCTTCCTCTGCCTCCTGAGTACTAGTATTAAAGACATATACTACTTCTGCCTGCCTTCTTTTCTTTTTCAACACTGATACTTCTTTAGACTAAAGTCTTGTCAGTGTGGTGTGTGTGCATTCGTGTGTGCGCGCGTGCGTACCCCTGGCTTCTTTTCTTTTTCACCACTGATACTTCTTTAGGCTAAGTCTCGTCAGTGGTGTGTGTGTGTGTACCTCTGTCTCTCTGCCTACCCACTAAACTTAACCTAAGAGATTTAGTAAGAATACTTCTAGCACCTACATCCGTGAGTGACGTGGTACAACTTGTGACTGAATGCTTCTTTCCCATTTGTTACCCTGCCCTGCCTTAGTAGCTCAGATGAGTGGAGATGACAAATGACAGCAAGGCTTAAATGAGAGGGCAGCTGTGAAAGGCTCTCGGTGGTGCTTGGCACATGTAAACACTCACTACTGTAAAAACTGTGCCTTTTATCATTTGGCTTCCAGTTATTAGTGGTAGTAGAGGCCTGCTTTCTCTGAATTTTAGCCAATCAAGTAAACTAAAATTATTACTATTTGCAATGTAAAACATAAGTGATTGCAGAGGTACCAACATGATCACACATTCAGTGATGTAAAAGACTTTCACACTTGGATTTGTGTTTGAACGACTTGATGCTCCCCTCATATAAAATGAATCCAAAACTTCCTACTTGCTAAGCATGAACCCTAACACCTAACTTGCCAGCCTCAAGACATCTTTAAAATGTTTTTTGTTTTTTTTGTTGCTAGAGCATTTCTGTGCTTTCACTGACAGAGAATTTGATCACCAGCACATATGCGTTAGGTGAATTGTTACCGCTGTGACAAGACAAGAGGAAAAGGTCTAGTTCAGCTCACAGTGTGTGGTCTTTAATCCCAGGAGTTGTGGCCTCATGGCTGTGTGCCTGTGATAAGGCAGAGAATCATGGTGGAAGTGTGCAAACCTCATGGTGCCTGGGAAGCAGAGACAGGGGAAAGGATTGTGCTGGGTCTGACTTCAGATACCCACCTCCACATTGGTCAGTTAGACCCCACCTGCTAAAGTTTCCACACTATCAGCTAGAGACCAAGTGATCAGCACATGAACTTATAAGGGACATCTCACATTCAAACCATAATAGCCACAAAGAAGGAAAAGGACTTTTTGTTCATGCTCATTTTTTTCACAAATATTTCTTGATTATATGTTATATATATTATACGTTACAACAAGTTATGTACATATACAAGCCATTTCACAACTTTTTTTTGCTTCCATTTTGTCAAACTGTCTCTGATGGTTCTTGTCGATGTTAAATTAAAAATAAAAGGAAGGAGCTGTTTGAGAGGGCTTATTCAATGAATTGCTTGCCATGGGAACATGAGGACCTGAGTTCATTAGGACTCCCAGAATCCAGGTAAATAGTTGGACATGGTGGCACACACCTGTCATTATAGCCCTGGGGAGTCTGGCTGAACTGGCAAGCTCTTGGTTAGTGAGTGGCCCTGCCTTCCGTGGCGAGGCTGCTCTGAGTTAGTGAATATTCCTGCCTTCCGTGGCGAGGCTGCTCTGGGTTAGTGAGTGGCCCTGCCTTCCGTGGCGAGGCTGCTCTGAGTTAGTGAATATTCCTGCCTTCCGTGGCGAGGCTGCTCTGGGTTAGTGAGTGGCCCTGCCTTCCGTGGCGAGGCTGCTCTGAGTTAGTGAATATTCCTGCCTTCCGTGGCGAGGCTGCTCTGGGTTAGTGAGTGGCCCTGCCTTCCGTGGCGAGGCTGCTCTGGGTTAGTGAGTGGCCCTGCCTTCCGTGGCGAGGCTGCTCCTAAGGGCATGCTTTCTCTTTCTTACCACCTGCCTTTCTGGCCTCTCGGTTTCCCGGTTCCCTGTCTTTGGGCAGACTCTAAAAATTGCTCTGGCCACAATTTTGTTTTTGAAACCTTTGCCTTTCAGCGTGTCCCTTCAGGTTTCCTACTTTAATCTTCCCTGGGGTGTTTTTCTTTCCCTCACTCTTTAAATGTTGTCCCCCAGGATTCTGTCATTTGCCTAGATGTCACTTTTCCTTCCTTGGCTGAGCTCTTAGGCCCTCTTTTCTCCCCTGGCCTCTCTCTCTTTGGGCCTCCTCATTTTAGTGGCTTTGCTCAACTTCTCTGTGGTTTCCCTGTCTCAGTTCTGGTTGCTCAAATACTCTTCTCTTTCTTCACCGTGCACCGCCTGCTTTTCCTCCTGTGCTAGCGAGTGGCATCAGCTTCAACCCCTACTTGATCCCAGACTCATCCTGGTCATTCTGTCAGTCTTTTTTGTTTGTTTGGTTTTTGAGACAGGGTTTCTCTGTGTAGCTTTGGAGCCTGTTCTGGAACTCTCTGTAGACTAGACTAGTCTTGAACTCACAGAGATCCATCTGCCTCTGCCTCCTGAGTGCTGGGATTAAAGGTGTGTGCCGCTACTGCCCACCCATTCCTTCCTTTTAAAAAAAATATTGCTATTTATTTATGTGTACATGTGTGTATGTCTGTATATGTTCATGTATCTGAGGTTAGGGCCATCCCCAGGAGCTGTGATGTGGATGCTGGGAATTGAACTCGGGTCCTCTGCAAGAACAATGCATTCTTAACAACTGAGCCCTGTTCCTTCCTTTTTAATCCCTTGCTAAGTTAGAGTGGCTTGACCTTTCCAATGGCTTTGTATGGTGCTGTGTTTTTCCTTCTCTCTTACCCCTCCCATTGTCTCGCTTAGCTCTGCATCACTTCCTGAGACTATTGTAGTAAGCCCTCTCACTGTCTGCCTCACATTGCCAGTCTTTCCCCCACGCTATGTCAAAACCTTGTGCCATTCTGATACTTTTTAAAAAATTATTTTTTATGCACCAGATCTCATTACAAATGGTTGTGAACCACCATGTGCTGGGAATTGAACTCAGGACCTCTGGAAGAACAGCCAGTGCTCTTAACCTCTGAGCCATCTCTCCAGCTCCCACCTGACACTTTAATGCATTGAAATATAGTGATCTCCTTTATAGTCCCCTATCCCTAGGGCCACATTGTCTGGGTTTCCTCCTTGTCTTAGCTTGCTTCTCTTCTGTTGTGATAAAACACAGACCCATAGCAACTTGAGGAGCAAAGGATTTATTTCATCTTACTCCTTACAGCTATTATTAAGGGAAGCTAAGGCAGAAACTAAAGCAGAGACCATGAAGGGATGCTGCTCACTGACTTGCTCCCCATGGCTTGCTCAGCCTGCTTTCTTATACAACTCAGGACCACCTGCCCTGGACTAGCAATGCCCACAGTGGACTGGGCCCTCTCATGTCAACCATCAGTAAAAAACAAATGCCCCACAGACATGTGTACAAGTCATTCTGATAGAGGTAGTTCCTCAATATGATTCCCTCTCTCAGGTGACTCTAGTTTGTGTCAAAGTGAAAAAAACCTAATCAGCATTCCCAGCCCACATTTTCATCCATCCTCATCACTGGCACTTCCCCTTGTGTTCTGCACCCCATTGGTACTAATCTCATGTAGTCCTTTGCCTTATCAGTCCTCTTCCTGCCTTGACACATTTCCCTTTGCCTCACACATGAACTCATTTTCTGCTTCCTCCTCTCCCTCCCTCACATGCCAGCCAGCCAGTTGGTTCTTCATTTATGCTGCTAGAGTATTTTATTTTATTCACCCCAGTGTTCTGAAATTGTCTGTATATCTGCTAGCTTTCTCTGTTAAACTCCTTACAGGACATCAGAGTTCTAGGTGTTTTTGTGCTTCTGATGCCCAGCCAGTGCTTGGCACAGATGGACGTTTTATTCTGGTATATATCATTGTTCATGAAACAATGCTTAGAGGGGGGGTGTGTAGTGGAGGACTGAATTGTTCTGTCAAACCTTTTTTGAAATGACAGCCACTTTGTGTGGCTTTCAGTGGCCAAGCTAATGTTCATGGAGCAGTGGTCAGCATGCTGACTCATCCACAGAGTGAGCACTAAGGTGGATAACGTCATGCCATCCTACCTTCACTGAAGAAAGAGTGTGACCACTTAGTGTGGTTCTCAGTGGCAGAGCTGAGGGTCATAGAACAGTGTGCAGCCTGGTGACTCATCAGCTGAACCAACACTGAGAGTGGGTAGTGGCATCCTACCTTCACTGAAACTGGGCAGACTGAGTTGTATATCGTTCCCACCTTATTTTTGAAGCTTGGACACTTAAATTTCAGTTTCTTTGCCCACTGGAAAAAAAAATGGAGATTATGAATATATGAGCTTCTCATGCTGTTTTGAGGATTAACTATTGGCTGAATTTCATTGGTCCCTTGTTTCTATGAAATCTGAGTCTCACAATAATTATGAGCCTGTCTGTGCATAAACACACACTAAAAAATACTTAATTGCATTTTCTTCTCTCCAAAGATTCATCCATTGTACTGATGATTCTCCAGATCCTTGTATAGAATACGAGGTAAGCATCTTTTTTCTTTATGACACTAAGATCATGGAATAGCGCTGTTTCTTTATAAATGAATAAAAACATTTGCACATAGAAATACTAAATTTTTAAATTTAAGAAACTTGTCATACTTATAGAAGCATATGTATTATTTAGGTGGGGTATGGTGGTGCATACCCCAGGCAGGCAGATCACTGAGTTCAAGACCAGCCTTGTTTACAAAGCAGTTTTCAGGCCTTTCAAGACCACGTCATGAGACCCTGTCTCAAACAGAAAGAGCTCGAGAGGTGGGGGTGGGGTGGGGAGTGTCTTAGTCAGTGTTCTATTGCTGTAAAGAGACACCATGACCATGGCAAGCCTTATTTAAAAAACAGACAAACAAACAAAAACACTTAATTAGAGCTTGCTTACAGCTTCAGAGGTTTAGTCCATTATCATCATGCTGGAAAACATGTGGTACGCAAGCAGACAGGTGCTGGAGAGTTAGATGAGAGTTCTGCATCCAGATTGGTAGCAGTATGAAGAGAGAGACACAGGGCCTAGCTAGAGCATTTGAAACTTCAGAGTTCACCCCCAGAGACACACCTTCTCCAACAAGGCCACACCACCTAATGGTGCCACTCCCTGGTGACCAAGCATTCAAATCTATGAGTCTATGGACCATTTTTATTCAAACCACCACAGAAAGAAAAATGAGTATGTACTATCTATAGACTATATATTTGATTATATGTACTATTCACAGAGAATATTTATATTCTTGAATAAAATAAATGCCTTTGTGCTTTTCACCCAACCAAGTCTGGTTCAGAGCCTGCATCTTACTGTGACCTGTGTCTGCTAGCCAGGGCCACCGCTCCTCAAAATAGCACAGCAAGCTGGATACCAAGGGCTGAAAGTAGGAGCCTGTGGGGGTCATTCCAGATCCAAGTTACGCTAACAAGAAAAGCCATCATTTTCACTTTACCTCTTTATATCATCTACTCATCTTACAAAGAGCTTAAGAAGAATGGAGAGTGACGACACAACTTTAGTAGAAATTATAACCATTGCAAACTCCAGTTTTTACTCCATTTTTAAAAAATGTACATATAAATAAATACCTCTCAAATGGGCACCATTCTTAAATACAGCTAATTTCTTAACTAATTAGTTAAATCTGGAGTGTTCTTGTCCTTTAAATGCTACATAGTAGGCTATCACTTATAATTACTTTTGATCTTTTTGAATTTGCATTATTAAGATAGAGTATTTCTGAAAAATTTGAAACATGTGTGACCATATTTGCTTATTAATTGCAAAACATTTTCATATTTGGTTTTTTTAATATCTTAGAATTAGTGCCATGATTAAAATTTTTTTCTTCATTATTTGCTTCTAGACATCTCTGTATAAACCTGTTTTCTACTATAGACTGGTGATGCAGCCTAGTTTGTATGCCATGTTTTAGGCCCTGGGTTTGTCCCTAGCATCACAAAGAAAAAATGTTGTTCGCTGATACTCACTATTGAATATTCTTTGTGTTGAATAACTATACTGATACATCTTCTCTGATTGTTGTACAACATTGAACTTATTATTTTGCCACTAAACAGTTGGTAGGTCCTAAGGTATCTGTTATTGGGGTCTTTTTTCCCCACTGATTTCCAGAGTGTGTTTTCCCATGCCATTATCCAATCTTTATAGCATCGTTTGTATATGTATATTACATATTTACACTTACTGGTTTGCTGAGCAAGTTCCTGTGAAGCACCTGTTGGGTGTTAGTACTCGGGGCTAGCTGCATAAGAACTGCAAAGACTGTTTCTTTAGTCTTTCACTGAGGTATAATCCTGGTGGAAATGTCATCATTTAAAGCTCTGGTTTACTTACTAGGCCTTTGCTGTTATATTGCTTTATTTTGATACAGCATCGTCATGGTAAGACACACGAGTTAAAGCCAGGGAAGTGATATTCCTCAAGTAATTAAAGTGAAAAACGTGGCAAGCAGAATCCCATGTAGCATATGCTTCTGTCTGTATTTTTAAAAATGTTTCCATATGCTATATTCTTACGTATTCCTGGACTACTTCTAGAAAGACAAATAAGAACCAGAAAGCTGCTTCTGAGAACAACAGAAAGATTGGGCAAGGAGAAAGTCTTTACTGCTTTATGCTCTACAAATCAACCACTGTGTGTTACTTGTTGCTGTTAGTATGCTGTAGTTGCTTATTTGTTGCTAAATAAAATTTCCATAGCTATATTATACACACACACTACCCCAAGATCAACTTTTAATACATAAGAATGTATAATATTTTAGTTTGAGGTTCACAGATTTTTTTGCTTGTTTTTATTTTTTTAATTTGTTCATTTTATATGCAAGTGTTTTTACCAACATATATGTTTATGTCTCACGTGTATGTTTGGTGCCCATAGAAGTCGGAAGAGAGCATTGGATCCCTTAGAAATGCAGTTACAGGAGGTTGTGGAGTATCATGTGGATGCTGGAAATTGAACCCAGGATTTCTGCAAGAGCAGCAAGTGCTCTTAACTGCTGAACCATCTCGCTTGCCCCTCGCCATGTTTTTTAAATACCACAATGATGGACTTGATATACTTTTGAAGTCTTAAGACATTTAATTAAAGAAAAACTTACTTTTCTTTAAGAAGAGGAAATTATTACCAGAAATTTTAAATACCAGAAAAATTGAGGAACCACTACCTAGTTATGTCCTCAGTGATAACATTTTGGTCCTTCTCTTTCTTGAAGAAGGAGGGAGACTGACTCTTCATGAGTAGTTCATACACCATCTTAAAGATGCTTACAAACACTGTGCTGATGATTGAATATAGGGTCTCAGTGCAGAAATTATTTTATTTTTTGGTGTTCTTAACGAGTTTCACAATATACAAGCCACAGGCTAGCTTGTGACACAGTAGTGGTGAGCTTTGACTTCATTATCTGGTGTCTAATATTGTGTCTGAGCTTTCAGAATGAGAAAGTTTTGCCTGGGATGCTCTGAGGGCTTTGAGCTTCTTAGCAAGTGCTCAACCACTGAGCCAAGCGTAAGCCCCAATTTTGGCAAGGATGCATCTTGTCCTAAAGTGTTTCAGAACAATTTTTCCTTATTAGAATAATAGGTCACAGCTCTGTTGTCTGGGTCTCCTGTCACATCTCCTGTTTTAAATGGTCTCTTTTTCTGAATTTTTATCATAAGGTCTTGACATGAAAGGGTTTTCTTGTATACTTCTGTTATATTTATTCATTTGTCTACAGCTTGTCCTCCGAAAATGGTGTGAATTAATTCCTGGGGCTGAATTCCGATGTTTTGTCAAGGAAAACAAGCTTATTGGTGAGTTCTTTTTATCCTTGAAAGTAATCTTTGATGTGTGTGTGTGTGTGTGTGTGTGTGTTTCCAGAAATCAAACCCAGATCCTGCTATATGTGAGGCAAGTGTTCTGTTATAGCCCTAGCCCCAAAGTCATCTTCAAAAGAAGGTGGCTGGTGAGGTGACCCCGTGGGTGAAGGCCACCGATTCTGAACCCTGGAGCTTGTGTGGTGGAAGCAGAGCACTGATGCCTATAGGTTGTTCTTTGAGCACTACATGAACTTGTTTGCTCACAGGTGTGTGTTCATATGTGCACGAACAGGCAGACACACACACATGAACACACATATAACTTAAACAAATGAGAAATAGTTTTGTTTTTAAAAGAGGAAGATAACTGTTGTAAATTTTAGAATTTTGTTCTTTTATGGTTGAATTGTATTTCATTGTGTGAATGTATTAATTTTTATTATTTTATCACATATATAGCAATGTCACACTATTTCATAAATATGTTTAATTACCATGTTTTATAAAAAAATAAAATAACCATAGAAAAGAAGGCAAGCTTTCGAAGGACATAACTTCAGAGATTAGGTCAGTTCTGCTGCTAGCTGCTGCCTCTGTTTAGTACTGAGTCTCCAGCTCTGTGTTCCTAAGGGTCCTGAGCCTATGTTTGATTTCTGCACAGGAAGATGGCGCTGTTAGTCTTGTCTGGAGTCTAAAGATGGAGGGGACAGCTGTTACCATTCTCAATACACATTATCTGTAATATTACATACTTGCTGGCAGAAAGTGCTTGTTGTAAACATCATAAAAACCAAGTTTTAACCATCTTTCTTTTTAAAGATTTATTTATGCGTACGTGTGTTTCTGTGTGGGGGTATGTACACATAGTGCAGATGCCCATGGAGGCCGGAAGTGCTGGATCTGCCTGGAGCTGAAGCTGCAGGGAGTCCTAAGAAGTCTTAATGTGGGTGCTGGAAACCAAGCTTCAGTGTAGTATGTACTCTTAACTGAGACATCTCTCCAGAATCTTTATTTCTGTTATTACATGAGCAAAAGAAAATGTATTCAACAAACAAGTACATTGCTTGCTTTCTTACCTCTGGAATTATTATTTTGTTAGCTATCACTTATTCAGGCTGAATGCTGAAGATAATCTGTTCTTTTAAAATGTTTCCAATGCATTTTTTGATGATGATGATCTTTACATCCTAACTGCAGTTCCCCTCCCTCTTCTCCCAGTCCCCCTACTCCTCTCCTTTTCCCTACCTCCACCCCAATCCACTCCTCCGTTTCTCTTCAGAAAAGTGCAGGACTCCTACAGATGTCAGTCAAACATGGCATATCAAGTTGCAGTAAGACTAGGTACCTCCCCTTGTATTAAGGCTGGACAAGGCAACCCAGTATGAGTAGAAGGATCCCAAAAGGTGGCAGAAGACTCAGAGACAGCCCCTCCTCCAACTGTTAGGAATCCCCCAAGAAGACCAAGCTACACAGCTGTAACATATGCAGAGGGCTTAAGTCAATCTCATGCAGGCTTCCTGGTTGTTGGTTCAGTCTCTGTGAGCCCCTATGAGCTCAGGTTAGTTGATTCTGTGGGTTTTCTTGTGGTGTCCTTGACCCCTTTGACTCCTATAATGCTTTCTCTCCCTCATCTGCAGGATTTTGAAAACCCTGTCTAATGTTCGACTGTGGGTCTCAGCATTTGTTCCCATCAGCCAATGCATGTTTTCTATAAAATAAATTTGTTAACGAAGGGATGTGTAATTGAGTATCAGCTCACCACTACTCACTGAATGTGACATTGGCATTCATTTCCATAACTAAAATAAATGTAGACATTTGACTTAGTTTAAGTATGCTTAAGAGAAAGACCTGGGTATGTAGTAAGGAAGCGGAAGCCTTTCTTTACAGCAGAGACCTTTTCTCTAGGACTAAAATACATTGAAGGCTTCATGCAACAGCTCCTTCAGTATATTTGGGAATCACTTTTTAAAAAAGGAATGTTTGATTTTTCTGTGATTTGAAAGATCAGGTTCTGAAGACAGATCAGCTTCCTCCAAACAGTAAAACCAGGCTGCTTTTATAAATAGTGTGGACATGGCAGGTGTGCGAGAGGGCTCTTTTATTCCCCACCCCCACTGGAAGAGTCTATCGATTTGAAGAGACTGTTGTAGAAAAATAAAGCACATATGCACAGGTTTAGAATTGCCACTTGTACATTTTACTCAGCAAGCCTTTTTGTGGCTGAATTGTTTCCATTTTGCGAAATAAAATTAAGAATGCATGGCAATATGGAGCTTAAGATTTATTTATCCACATGACCCTTGTTGTTGAGTCATGTATGCTGCAGTGCTCACCTGCTTGCTCTTTTGACCAATTTTAATGGCTTTGATTACAACTTGGAATTACATGTTGGCATATTAGGAGTATTTTATAATAACAGCTGTGGATGTTTTCTTGTCAGGTATTTCTCAGCGGGACTACACGCAATACTATGATCATATTTCTAAACAAAAAGAAGAAATTTGCAGATGCATTCAAGACTTTTTCAAGGAACACATACAGTATAAGTTCTTGGATGAAGACTGTGAGTATCCTCTGTCGGTGCAGTGGTGAGCCTGGTTACTGAGCCTCACTCCTTAGGTCCGTCTCTAACATTCAGCTCAAAGGTCTGTGCTTGTAGCGTGTCACTGTGCTTTCAGTTGTCACCACTGGTGATTTCTGTGCGCATTTCCACTCATTTAATTAGATGATATTATTGGACACCAAGGCCGTTCTCTCTCCATGCTTGCAATGCTGTGTGTTTCACAGTACCTGTCTGTGGAACAGAGTGGGATTATTTCATTATTGAGTCAGTTAATTATTGTAGTTCTGAGACAGAGTCTCACACTGTAGCCCACTAGCCTAGATACCACTGGCGGTTCAAGCTGACCCCTATCTTGCAGCAATCCTCCTGCCTTAGTTTCCCCAGAGCTAAGGAGTGTGGGTCCGCATTCCTGACTTGAGTTTGGAGATTTAGAAGTATGAAGTGTTCAAGGCCAATGATCTTCTGCTGTGTTTAGTAATAAAGTGTACTTGAGTTTTCAAAAAGATACAGATTATAAAAGTATTAGTTTATTAGTAACTGAGTTTTTTCTTCTTTGCAGTTGTGTTCGATATATACAGAGACAGTAGGGTAAGTAGACTGTAGTTAACTTGCTGTAAAATCAGGAATGGCAAGCATAGTGTACAGCCTTTAAGGTTGTGAAGATCTGCTGCTCAAGTAATGTGTTCTCAAGCTGAGGTCTGTGGAATTCACAGTGCAAGGTTATTCCTTACAGTAGCATATCCACCATGAATAAACTCAGCATTCTTGTTTTTGCAACAGTCTCTCCTTGTAGCTCTGCTGGCCTGGAACATGTTATGTAAACCACATTGACTTTGAACTTATGACCCTCTTGCCTTTGCTCCTGTGCGTTGGGATTATGGCCATGTATCCTGAATGCAGAGACTAGCAAAAGGACAAGTAGATTAATAAGTGGCTACTTTATGTCCTTCTTCAATTCATTGTACACACTTAAGTGGCCAGGAGTTTGTCATTTGGTATTTAATTTTTTTAAAAATCATCTAGAAGGTTCTTTGCATGACTTGCTTTAGACTAAAGATGTGTGTTTGTTTGCGTTTATAATAGATTTACCCTTTAAAGTTTTTGAGTGAGCATGTGTGTATGTACTCATATTCATGTGGGAAGGCTGTACATGCAGTGCATATTCATACAGGTTGTGCATGTAGACAAAGACACCCTCAAGTAGCATCCTCAGAAATGCTGCATGTCTCCACTGAGGCAGCAACTGTCATTGGTCTGGATCTCATTGATTAAATGAGCCAGCTGGGTAGTGAGCCTCAGGGGGCTTCCTGTCTCACCTCCCCAGGGCTGGCTTACAGATGTGTACCAGCCATGCTCGACATTTTTCTGTTTTCTGGGGAATCAAACTTGGGTCCCTCATGGCTGTGAGGCAAGGACTTTACCCACTGAGTTGTCTCTCCAGCTCCAGGTTGACATTTTTAACTTAAATTTATTTTTTATCTAATACATAAAAGTATTAAATGAATTTAACATTTCAATACATGTCTGCATTGTGTAATGTTTAGTTCTGGGTAAGTATCTTTCCACTCAAATATTTGTCATTTCTTTATGGTAAGAATATTCAAAATTCTCTTGGGCCACACAGTACATCATCATTATCTAGAAGGCATTTTCAACCTGTAGCCTGTAGTCACATGTGTCCCAGGATAGCTATGAATGGGACCCAATACATTTGAGTTGACAGTATCCTATCCCATTGTTAAAAGGTTAGACATCCTGATAGTCACCCTGCTATGCAATATAGCAATAGAACTTTTTATTCTTCTTTATTAACTTGTACATTGATCACCTTCTTCCCATCTTGCTCTCCACCTGGCTTCAGGTAGCTACCTTTCTACTCTTGACTCCTGTGAGATTCCTAGTTTGGTTTCAAATATGAATGAGATCTTGTAGTATTTGCCCTTGCCTGGCTTATTTTACTTACATAAGGCTTTCCGGTTCATTCATATTTGCCTCAAATAACTGGGTAGCATTTTTTTTTTTTTTTTTTTTTGCTCAACACTATTTTGTGGTGCATTTGGATCACATTTTCTTTATCCACTTGTCAGCTGTCCACACTTCCAGACTATTGTGAATTGTGTTGGAAATAAAGATGGGAGGACAATGGTTTCTTTAGGTACTCACTTCTCCTCCTTGATGTATGCTAAGCTGGGGTTGCTGGCTCATGTGGTGGCTCCGTTTTACTTGTTTTACATTGATAATGTGTGAGAGTGTGGATGCACTTGCTTGTGCTTCTCTCTTTCCACCATGTGGGTTCCAGGAATCAGACCTGGGTCATCAGCATTGTCAGCAAGTGCCTTTATGGGCTGAGCTGCAGCCTATTTTTGACTTTTTGAGGAACTTCCTTTCCTTCCATGCTCTTCCTCATAGGCTGGACTAGCTTGCGATCCTCCCAGCAATACATGAGGACTTACTGTTCCTCACATCCTTGCCAGCACTTATCTTTGTTCTTTCTGATAGCAGCTGTTCTGGCTGACATGAGGCAGTATCTCATTGTAACTTTAATTTACACACCTCTGCTGGGTGGCTTTGAGCATTTTTCCTGTGCCTGTTGGCCATCTGTACGTCTTCTTTTGAGAAACTTCTAACACTTTCAATTAACATCTTAAAAGGGATGCAAACTGGTGAGATGAAAAAGAAAACAAAAGCCTGACTTAATACAAACTTCCTCAAAAGAGTCAAATTAAGAAATACTTGGAAGGCAGAACAAATATGACATAGTAAAGACTGATTGGGTATTTATTAATAATGACTGGTGAGCCTACTAGATATTGTAGGAACACAGGAAGAGTAGCATGATGTGGGGTGATCAGAGTGGGTTAGTGTCATGAGAAGATGAACTCAAACCATCTGCATGGCTGGGTTTGGAGCTATCAAGGGCTCAGCAGATGCATATACAGAAAAGATGGTGATTCCCCTTCTCCCAGAGTCTGCAATAGATATCAGTTCGGAGATAAAAGGTAGTGTCCCACGAGCCCTTCCCTCTTCTTTTACTGTGTGTGCAAAGAGTTTACGTGAGTTAATACAATAATTATATCAAGCCTAGGGAATTGTGTTTCATAATTAATTTAATTCTTCTCCCCTTAAAGAGATTATAAAAGGGGAAAAGCATTGATCAACATATTTTGTTACTTTCGCTTTGTTTGGCTAAGGAGCTGGGACTCATCGACTATTCACACCTTGCAATCTTTATTAAACTATAATGCAATGGGATAAAAAAAAATACAAGCTTCCTGCAGCAGAGATTTCACTGTCTGAGCCATGTGATCTTCTCAGGCTGAATATTGTCCTGTGATTCCTGCTTGATGACCGAGCTGTTGGAAGATAGTAGATATATTTTCTCATGTCTGACCTGTTCACCAGCAGGTGTCTCATTCCCCTCCCACTGTGTGACTGTGATGCCTGTCACCACTTTGAAATCTTTTTGACCAAGGGAATGTGGCCCATAGAATCATGTCCCCTAGTAATGTTAGCTGTTTCCCCCTACTAAGTAAAAATGTTTACCATATTTCACCTCTCTGTCTTCTAGAGTGATGGTAGATACTAAGAATTAGAAAGGAAGGCTATAAAATGAGATGATTTAGGGGCTGGCAGGATGACCCAGTGGATAAAGTATTTGCAGGGCAAGCATGATGATCAGAGTTCAGATCCCCAGAACCCACATAAAAGTTGGGTGGTGGTCATGGTATAGCACCTGTAAACCCAGCATTCTAGAGGTGGAGATGGGAGTCCCTGAGACAGGCTGGCTAGCTAGAGCAGCCAAACCAGCAAGCTCTGGGTCCAGTGAGAGACCCTGCCTCAATAAGTGAATCAGAGAGAAATCCAGGAAGTACCTTAGTGTAAGCCTCTGGTTTCCATGTGTACATACACACACATATGTGACCACATATCACACACGTATGCACATCATACATATAGAAAAAAAATAGATGAAATGGAGTAAAGACAAGAATGATGCTTTGGAAAGTTTCAGCTGTGTGGAAATAAACCTCAGAAGAGTGGGAGGCGTGGGTGAGTTCATGGATAGAAATCTGATCCTGCAGACAAGGGTCCCCTGGCTATCGTTGAGCTCTGCTTCTTGCTACAGAAGTTGATGGATCAGGCACATGACCAGTATTTGTGAATCTGTGCTGTGCTAGCTGCTGTGCTTCTGATGGCAGCTTCAGACAAGATAACCTTGGACAGTGGACGAATTTATTATCTTGACATGGAAGTGGCAGACATGTAAATGTTTGTGAGGAGTGGCTTGCTGCAGGCAGCATCAAGGCAATTAGAGCAGGATGAGCCCAGCCTACTGTCTAGAACGCACTTTCCCAGAAGGCTTTTGGTATCATTTAATTCCATATCTGTCTGTATAATGCTGTGAGGTATGTGTTATATGCCTACATTGTGCAGATACTAAACCAGTTATTTCATATGATGGCAGTTGAAAATGTTGTAACCTGGCAAGCTGTCTCTTTCTGTCCTTGGCAAGTGTCCTGATCTCATCACTAACTTAGTAGGGCTGACAGGTAGATGCAGCTGTTTAGCCTATAAAAGAGTTGAGGAATTTCTTAACGTGAAGTTGGGCGAGTACATGAGTAATGGTAGCTGAGATCTTGCGGATCTGAAGCTAGTTACATTTTTAAAAGTGAGAAGCACGCCAGTCTAAACATCCTGACAGTTTCTGTTCAGAGATTTAGACCATATTGTAAGGCTCATTTGCATTTACTCAATGGCACGTATATCAGAGTTTGTTAGACACTTCCTTGAATATGTTATTGTGTGGCTATTCTTGTAGGAAGCTAACTCACGTATGTAAGTGGTCTGGTTCATGAAATATAGCTGAAGTGTGTTTGCTCCTTGTGACATTTTGACCCGTCTGCGTTTATTGTGGTTGGGCAAGTTGATTTAGTGCTGCAGAGTCTTAGCTGTTCTATACTTGTCTCATCGGTGATCCACCCATCCAGTAAGTCTGGGATGGGGCACTGGAAAATGTTCTCAGAAGCTCCCATGAGATGATAATATGCAGTAGAATTTAGAGTCATTATGTACATTCTTTTTCTTCTTTTTTTTTTTGTGAGACAGGGTTTTGCCATGTAGTTCTAGCTGGCCTAGAACTCGCATCTCACTGTGATCAGTTTCGCCTTAAGCTCACAGAGATCCATCTGTCTTTTACTTTAGAATCTTAAAAAAATCATTTTGGGGGGAGGGAAAGGGAGCTGGGAATGACATGTGAAACAAGCTTGTTTCTAACTTAAATTTAAAAAAAAAGGAAGAGGAAAAAAAAGAAATAAAAACAACAACAACAAAAAAGTCATTTTTGTCTCTCTTGTGGTTTCAGTTATGTTGTGTTATATTGTTATTAACTTATAGTTTCATTGCTCTCTGGACAGATAGAGAAACTTTCTGTGTGTGCTTGACAAAGACAAAGGAAGTCTAGGTTGTGTGTGCTGTATTCTACAGGTAGCTCTGTCTAGATCAAGCTTGTTGCTAATATATGTAGCTTCTGGAGGGAATGGTGCTTGAGAACCTCTTTAAATCAAATACATGTTAGGAGAAGGGATAGGAATACCAATATGTAGACTTTATCACATGGGGAAAGATCCTAATTTTTTTGGCTTCTTGATTTATTAGTTACTGAGCAACAGCATATGTTAATATGTCTTTCTTCCTAATTGTGTTGGTTTCTAAGTAATATACTTTGAAGTTATGTTCTTAGATAACACTAATTTTCTGCCAGGCTTTTATTATTTTGAAGGAAAATGATGTAAATAAGCAATTATATAAAATGTAAGTAGGAAATATGGATTGTGGCTCACAGTTTCAGAGGTTTCAGTCTTGGTCCCGTCACAGTGAGCCTTTGGTAACAGATGTCAAAGAAAGAGGTGGTAGAGCTGAGCTGCTCAGCTCATGATGCCAGGAAGCAGAGAAAAAGAGAGAGTGCACGTGAGCTCAGAGCTGCACAGATGGGCTTCTGTCTGCTTTTCACTTTCCCTCCAAGGCCCCATTCTTTGGCTTTTGCTACCCAGCTTCAGGGAGGGTCTTTCTCCTTCAGTCCCTGTCTTTCATAGCAGTCCTCTGTAGACATGCCCTCACAATATACTCAGAAGTATGCTTAACAGTCTCCTAGGTGTCTCTCAGTCTAACCAAGCTGACAATTGAGATTAGCCATAACGGATCATTTTCAAGTGAAATTTTATCATTTTACTATTCCTAATACTAATAAGGCTTTCGTATGTTTTTCATTATATATTTTGTCTGATATCAATAATGCGGCAGGCTTGGGTTTGTTTTGAGAGTTCATCTTTTTATGCTTTTACATTTACTGTCTTATAAACAGAATATTGCTGGGTTATATGGGGAGGTTTTGGTTTGAGGTAGGTTTTGGTTTGGGGGTGGGGGAGTTGTGATAGGATCTTTCCAAGTAGCCCAGCCCAGCCTTGAACTCAAAGCAATCCTTCCCCAGTTTCCTGCCTGCTGTAAATTACAAATGTGAATCGCTGTTCTGAGCTCCTCTAATTTCATCTCTTGCTTTGTGTTTAAGTCGTTGATCTCTTTAGTATTTGTCCATTTATCTGTTTGCTGTGCAATATGTCTTTTTGTAGACTTTATCCAGTTGTCCTAACACCAGTATTTCTATTCTTATTATCTCCCAGGCTGATGATGTGGGGTTTGCTTTGTTTTGTTTTCTCCTTAAGATCCTGGGATTTTTCCCTGTTATATTTGCAGACTTTCACCATGTTGTTTCCTTTAATCTCATTATTCATTTTGTTCATTTTACTTTGAGTTAACCTTTAATGAGCTTTTATTTGTGAGAATCCCAAAGACCTTAAAGATCAAAATTTCATTTGCTCCTGTCATGTTTCCCAAAATCTGGTGCCTTTGCTTCCCAGTCAATTGGTAGACATTTATTTTCCTTTCTTTTTTGGCACATTCTTTTCATTCATTGAGGTTGCAGCCCTCTGAAGTTGCTCCCTAGTCCTAAGCCCCTCCATAGGGCTAGTCCCTGGCTGTTGTGTAGTGTTAAAGCCCATATCCTTGGATCCCTGGGAGGGTTTCTAAGCCCCCAAAGCTCCTGCTGATCAGCCATATTCTTATCTCTGGTTTTCAGACTCCTTTCCTTTCTGGCTACTGGGGATACCCCTCCCCCCAACACACACACTTTCTCATGTTGTTGTCTATACATTTAAAGGGATTCTTGTAACCTCAGTTTCATCCTGTTTCAAAAAGGAGGCTTTTAAAGACAGTCTGCAGTGTATTGTAGAAACCCTCATGAATTTTACACACTAACCAAAGCAGTCTGCTGTCTACAGCTTCTCTGAATATGGTTATATTTTCTTTATCTTTTCTCTGCGTTGATCTGCTTCCCCATCCACACTGCACTCTTACCCCACTGTCTCTATTTTCCTCCGGATTCTGAGTCACAAACACTGGGTACAGTGGTGCCAGCTGTGATTATAGTTATAGGGTAACTGAGGCAGAACAATCACTTGAGCACTGAGCAGTGCAGCAGGACCTGTCTCAAAACAGCGTGGCAAAATCCAAGTTACTCTGAGAAGCATTTCTAGCATCCCCATCAGTCAGGTTCTCCTGTGCTCTGCTGGAATCTCACCACACCCTGAGGTTGCTCTGGCCCATGAGAGTGTGCTCCTTATTATGGATAGTGTTGAGTTTTGATTGTTAGGAAGTATGTTGTAATCTAGACTGAGCTTGTTGAAGGAACAGATTCTGTTATTGATTGGTCTTTATATTCCATAGCAATATGCAGTGTCTAGTTCAGAGACATTTGCATAAGTGGTCCTTTGAAACATTATTCTGACTCTTCATTTATGAATTTCCCTGAATAGAATTGTAGCTCAAATTCTAATTGGTCTTAATAATAAAAATCCAGAGTCCGATAAGGGGTTGATCCTGAAAGATGAGAGAAGCAAAGCAGCCAGCCACTAGTTCTTCTGAATTCTCAGGTGATCCTGTCCCTATGAATCCGCAGACTCAATTCAATAAACTTCTGTCTCCTCCCTTCTTATGTTACTCTCTCTGCCCAGCCATATCACTTCTGTCTCCACCTCCCTGGTGCTGGGATTAAAGGCATGTGATCCCAAGTGCTGGAATCAGTGGTGTGAGCCACCATTGACTGGCTATTTCTCTTTTAAACTTGATCAATCTCGTGTAGCCCAAGGTAGCCTTGAACACACAGAGATCTGTCTGCCTCTGCCTCCTGAGTGCTGGGGTTAAAGGTGTGTGCCACCACTGCCTGAAGTCTATGGCTTACTAGTGTGGTTAGCTCTGCACTCTGATCTAGAGGCAAGCTTTATTTGTTAGATCACAAACAAAATATCACAGGAATTAACTGCTTAGGATAACAGGGACTTGAGATGTCACATGAAAGCAAGTTCAATTATAAAATTTCATTCTACACAGTTTTATGGCTCACACAGCTGGTTTACTTTATTTGGGGGTGAATGGAAATGGCATCTGACTTTTAGAGCAGATGCTGCCAGCTACCATTGATGGTTTGTTTTGTCTTTAAATTAGGTTACTTCCAATTTTGTATTGAGATATAGTTTTAGTTTATAGAAGTCAATATTCCTATGCTAACAGGTATAACATTTTTGAAAGTTTCCCTCTTTTTGATGAGATAGTTTTGTTGGTGATAAAAAGTCAAGTAGGGACACTCATGGTGGTGCACATCTTTAATCTCAGCATTTGGGAGGCAGAGGCAGGCAGATCTCTCTGAGTTTGAGGCCAGCCTGGTCTACAGGGTGAATTCCAGGATGACAAGGGCTACACACAGAGAAACTCTGTCTTGAAAAACTAACAAGCAAAAGTAAAGAAGGGAGAACTGGAGATTAGAAAGTGCCCATTTTGTTAAAAAACAACAGGCAGTGTGCTAAAGCTGTCTTAGTCACAGCCCTCTAAACAAATATGGCGTCATGCCGGCTGTCTGATGACTGGTATTACTATACATAGTCTAAGAATATAGAAGTGGGTACCAGACTGATTTGTGCCAATGATTCCAGGGGCAATAGAAACTTGTAGGATTCTCCTGGGGATTATATTAAATAGGAACCTTACTCACATGACAGGTTGTAAAAACTTGAACTGGCTTCATGCCATTGACTGGGTAACTCTGCAGTAAATCCTCCTAAGGTATCTCATCTTCTCTAAAATTTTGTTTTAGCCTAGATGAAAACATATCAGTAAATGCCTACTCAGCATTCTCTCTCCTTTGGCATGTCTAAATTTGTACACACAGCTATCTGATCAAGACATGAGAGTTTCATATTTACAATAAAACATCTAATTGTCAACAGTACAAAGTAAATGAATATGCCATAGAAAATCAGAGATTGAGGAGAAGGCTCAATTGGTAAAGTACTTGCCATGTAATCTTGAGGGCTTAAGTTTGATTCCCGAACCCACAAATGAAAAGCTGGGTGCAATGGCATGTACCTGTAATTCCAATACTGGAGAAGTGGAGACAGAATGGTCCCTGGGACTTGATGGCCAGCCTGTCTAGCCTGATTCGTGAGTTGTAGGTTCAGGGACAGACTCTGTCTCAAAAAATAAGGGGAGAGCAATTGAAGAAGATAGCTGACATCTCCCTCTGGCTTCTACACATGTACTTCCACCCCCAACATACACACACACACACACACACACACACACACACACACACACACACACACACACACACACACACACACGGTGTGGGGGGAATTAAAATTTTAAGTAAACATGTATACTATATGCCCAAGTGGCTCTGAGATCAAATGCGCTGGCTTTGATTTCCTAGGACTGCACACATTGCCAGTTCATATAGGTCTATATTGGCCACTTTCTGCTCAGGTGTTCCTGACTCAGCATAGCTGAACAGGTTGGAGCATTCTTTCCCTTAGGTGAGCATCTAGTAGACTGTCTCTGAAGACAAGAAACTCCTTTCAAAGGTTGATACTGTCTTTTTCATTTCCCCTTCATGTGCTTTTGAGCTCTGTCATACATACATACTAAATGCCACATTGGAAACTAAAAATAAGAAAAGAAAATTCTGTACTCTTAGTGTGTTCAGATGGGCCCTCTTCAGTGCCCTTCTTACTGATTCTCTTCCCTCTGCATCAGTCATCCTCTTAGATCTGTCTGTGGGACACCGAGGGATGATCTTCTGAAACAGTTCTCAGGAATTTAAGATGATCATTAAGGGAAAATAATAGGAAAATGCCTTTTTAATAAGACAGTATAGGTTATGTTTGGTTTTATTTTATACTTAGCTGTTTTTTTTTTTTTTTTTTTTTCCTGTCTGTGCTCTAGGGGAAGGTGTGGCTGATTGACTTTAATCCATTTGGGGAAGTCACAGACTCACTGTTGTTTAGTTGGGAAGACCTGACATCTGAGAACAACCTAAGAGGTGACCTCAGTGAAGAGGATGCTCAGGAGCAGGTAAGTAAGACCAGCCTTTTCAGCCCTTTCATCACTCTGTTGATATCGTAGTCAGAACCTGGACCTCTGGGAAAGAGTTCAGTAGTCACAGCTTTGCTAGCTGTTACTTCCTATCAGACTGTTCAGTGAGTTGTCCATGTGGCTCATTCCTTTACCTAGAAAGCAGAGTTTTTCTCCTTATTCTAGCTCTTTTCTTAGCTCTGCCTGTCATGCTCACCCAGAAGAACCTTGACCCCCAGTCAGTTCATACTACAGCTTCTCTCGTCCTGCTCCCTGCTGAGCGTTCACAGAGACCAGTAGCTACATGTCTGCCTAGACCAGAGTCTCTTCACTTTCGTGGGGAGAGTCCCTGGTCAGCTTTCATCTCAGTTTTCTCCAGGGTGGTCCCACTTCTCCAGGCTCCTCACCTCTTCCAGGCATTACTCCTTATCTTCCTCTCAGCAGATCCTGTTAGCCCCTCTACAGGAAGGAGAAACTACTCAGCTCAGTTGCCAGCCTTAAGCCTTGAGCTCATTCTTGCTTGCCTTAAGTCTTAAGCTCACCCTTGCCCACCCTCCTAAGCCTTAAACTCGCTGCTGCCTTAGCATGTTGTGTTTTTCACTCTCTTCTTGTCTACTCCTCTCCATTAGGGTTCAGCCAAGTTCATATAGCTCCCATCCTAATTTTTTCCTTTAACCACATTTATTTACACAGCTACACTCTTCCTTTCTTCCATCTTCAGTGCTAACCTTTCTTTTTCTACCCTGAAGCATACTTGCCTGAGGAGCCATAGGCAAAGTTTGTTAAGAGAAACTTTCCTTGAGTGGAGCCTTTCTGCCCGCCTGGTTCTAGATCCGCAATAGTCCCAAATAAACACACAAGAGGCTATATTAATTATGAAGCTGTTGGCCTTGTTTGTCTCTTACTGGCTAGCTCTGCTTTAAGTAATTACCCCATAATTGTTAATCTAAGTATGTCTCTTACCGGAGAATAGTTCCGGGCTTCCTACCCATGCGGTTACATCTCGAACTCTCTTGTGTTTCTCCTTCCCAGAATCCTCCTGGACTCCTAGCCCCACCTATCTAGATTCCTATAGGCTCAACAGTACTTTATTGACAAATAACAGGACTTCCCCCAACAACAAAGTAAATGGTTGATGGGAGAGGACTCATCGTATTCAATGGTAGCTGCAGTTACTTTACTCAATTAAGTAGCCTCCCACCCATGCTCATGCAGGCAACCCTAATTAAATCCAGTTACGGAACTGCTGCAAGAGTATAGGAGCTGTGTCTCATCATGGCCCACTTCCCTAGTCTCTTGCTGTCTGTCCTTTCTTTGTCACCCTACATCCTCAGTCCTCTGCCAACCAGCTTCTGTACTACCACGCTGTAGGCCTTGCCCTTGGCAAGGGCCCTGAGTGACTTTTGACCTCTGATGAGAGATACACCACCCTTCTCTTCCTGATGTGCTCAGCAGGTGCCCTCTTAGTCTTACACCATTTCTCCCTTTGAGAGACTCATGCTTTCTTCCTGCTTTTCTGGCCTCTTCTCTGCCTTTACGAGGAGCATGTTTTATTTCACTCCTCCTTCCATTCCTGTCATCATTCTGTCCTGGGCCCTCTCTGGCCCTCCCTTTGCACCTGATTCAGATCAATATTCAGCCTCATGTGGTCCTTGCCAAAACCATTTCAAGTGCCTGTTGGGGTACTGTACCCTCACTAGACTCGGGTTTCCAAAGGATGGTGTCTCTCCAATCCTTGGTACATCTGTGGGGCCTGCACAGTGCCAGACAGTGTTCATGTCCGTCATATCAACCAGTGAAGGAATGTAGTTGCTATTGGAAAGAAAACATGTTACTTAGTTAAGTAAGAGAGACATAGTTGTTGGCAGAAGTGGTTTTGCAGGATTATTCTCCATACCATGCTTTATTTACTTCTAAATATTAGAGGTTGGGACTTGACAGGATGTGGTTCCCGGCTTCTTCCCCGGCATTTGCCATGGTTCTCCTTGGTCATAGAGACCCAGGCTTCCCTCTACCCCAGAAATCTAAGAAGCCTGAGAAGCCCAGTGTTGCCTGAAGTCTTCAATCTAGTTGTCTCCACTGCCTCCAAAGCCTGCTCTGCTCCTGTTCAGCTGTCAGCCCAGATGGCCCTTAGCAAGGCCACCTCTCTAAGAGAGTCTCCAGCCCATCCCTCTATAGTGGTCATCACTGTCTTCTTAGCACACCTTCACTGTCTGACATAGTCTGGTCATTTCTTTGTTCACCTGCTGACCATCTGTCTCCTGGTCCTCCGCTCTGTCTCCCAATCCCAGAACAAAGCCTGCACAGAGCAGATGACTCTTAGCAGGCATTTGAGTTATCTGTGTAAGGTGTGGCCTGCTTTACATGGCTTCCTGGTCCCAAATTGTTTAAGTTCCTGTCTTGTCTGTCTCTACTGGACACCAACCATCCTCACCTAGATAGCCATCACTTGGGAAGTCCAAAGCCAGGGCCTTCTGTCTCTGGAGTCCTTTTTGGCACAAAGCAACATGTAAACATTCTACTCAAGACTTGGCCAAGTACATTAAAGAATGAGTTAGAAAGTTAGTGACCTGTGAACTTGCAGATGGTGAGATAGCAGATGATCTGAGAGGCGTATAAAAAGATTATGGATTTCAGAATACACATTTGCCCTCACTATAAAGGTCAAGGTACTGCCCCAAGGGCAAAGTACTTGCCGGACCATGCCTCCCAACTGCACACCTGTAGAAAGTGATGATAATGTAGACTTCTGGCCTCTGAGATTGCTGGGGCCCCGAGGGAACTAACCTGGGCCCTGTCCTGCTCAGAAGCACCTGCCCCACACACGCTGTCGTACACAGGCAGCTCTTAGAGACCTACCCTGCTCTAAACGGAACGCTGCTTTGAAAGGCTTTCTATTCTCTTTTCAGTGACCATGTGGGATTATTTTAAATTCTTGGTGCCTTTTACTTTAGGGTCTTGTTTTCTTCCTTCTCTAGTACAGAAGAAAACACTGGCATTGAAATTGTGCTAGTGTTGTTTTTAAGTTTGGAAAATAGACCATTGTAGTGAGATATCCACCCCGCCTGCACCTGTAATGCTGCCTATACGGGGTGGATATCTCACTACAGTCCTTAAAAACAAAAAGACAGACTTGGCTGTTTTCTTTTTGTAAAGGATTCTCCAGCTTTCCGCTGCACAAACAGTGAGGTCACAGTGCAGCCCAGCCCCTATCTGAGCTATCGACTGCCCAAGGACTTCGTGGACCTCTCCACCGGGGAAGACGTTCACAAGCTCATAGATTTTCTTAAGCTGGTAGAGTATATGGAAGTTTATGTGCTCGCCATCCTTTCAGATTGGGTTCAAGTGTGCTTTGTGGCACTTGCTTTCAGTCCTGGACCACCTGGACTTCTATAGCTGGTTATGGGTTAAGGAACCACAGTGAAATAGAATTAGGCCACTTTGTAAGTAAATAGGAACTACAAGCTGAAGGGATAATTTGTCAGTCAGGATGGCAGAAGATACTCTTATGACATACTCATTTTGAAAAATTTACATAATAGCTTTGAAGTATGTATGTTGTCATGGGGCTTGAAGATCAAGTCTCTGCTACTACACAGTGATTATGAATGTGTATGTTTCCATGTGTGCTTCTTTGTGAGAATGTGTTTACCTATGTAAGAAAGAGAAAAAAGTATTCAGATGCCTGAGGGTTGTCACCCAGGAGCCATATAATAAGCCAACTTATCAAATTAGTTAAAGCATGTTTTTACCATAATTTCTAGCTACATCTTTTGTGAAGACCTCCAGAAAATTACACTTTCTGACAGAAACAGTGACATTGGCTGGGCAGACGTCCCAGTTAGAATATGTTTCTTCAACATATTCTTGGTTTCCTTTTACAGAAAAGAAATCAGCAAGAGGATGACTGAGTGCTGCTCTGAGAATAAGTAGAAGAGAGAACACAGCTACTCCAGGAGGCTGTGTATAGAACATAACTTCCCGGTGATCCAAACTAGGTAGAGGTGGGGTGTGCAGTATGCAAAATCATCAGTTTTTATATCCATGTATATTCACTTCGGAAAAGATGGAGGAACTTTGGTACTTGTAAAAAATAAGTAAACAAATAGATCTTAAACATAAGGAAGCATACTGTTCTGATAATAAAATAACTTTCTATGAAATACTTGCTCTCTGGCTCCATATTTAGATTTATCTGTGTTTCTTTCGTTTCCATTTTTATACCTGTCAGGTAGGTGGTCAGAATTATTCTTTACAGAAATAGTACGAGGTCGTGAGAGGGGAAGAAGAGAGCTTAAATGACGTGGGAAGGGAGAGGGTGGTAGATGTTGTGTAAAGGGAAAGCAGAAATGAGTACCGAGGGAAAGAAAGGGATCGGGGTGAGAAGGGGAGGGCCCTGGGCAAGTGAAAGACTGAGAACAACATATAATGGTACATATGTATGGTGTGTGTCTTAAGAAGTAAAGGAATATGGAGGATGAGATAGTGGGTAAAGGCACATAAGCCTGCCGATCTGAGTTTGATCCCCGGAAGCCATAGTGGAAGGAGAGAATTGACTCCCACGAGTAGCCTCTGATGTTCATGCACTCACACACCATGAACGTGCACATGTACACACGTACATGCACATACACATACATTCATACACACATACATACAGTAAGCAGATTTTGAAATAAAAATGAAGAAGTAAAGATTATTCTTTATTTTCCCATATAAAATAGTATCTTATATTACAATAGGAAATATTTTTCTTGACTTGAAATTTCTAATCTTCCTTTGAGTTTAACTTCAGTTTGGGCAGAGTTACAAGGACAAATGAGAGATTTCTCACTATCAACTGTGACATCTTTCATTTATGATAATTATCCTAACATAAACTAGTGAAATTATCATAGACATCATTGTAATTTGGCTTTAAAAAATACATTGGACTTTTGAGGGTAATAGAGCCACTCTATTAAAAATCCATCATTTTAGTCATTATTCTGTTTTGACTTAAAGGAGCCCTCATTGCTTTTGACACACTGCCCAGGTGACTGGAAGGAAACATTATAATTTCCAGCTGTCTGTCCCATGTACTACCAACCAATATTATGCTGGGTACAATAGCCACAACTCAGAGAGGTTACCACATTTGTTGAGGAAAGAGATGAACAGAACCAGGTTATCCCAGAGTAGATGTTGGGAATTCATTCTGAAGTGGGATGTGCCATTGAATTAAGCAAGGGAGAGGCATAATCTGACTTATGTTTCTGAGTTGTTTTTCTGATTCCTATCTGGAAAGCAGGGTGGTGGATTAGGAGGAGGCTGTCTCCCAGACATCTTGGCTTTCACTCTGTGCTGACAGTTAAGATAAATAAGAGGACAAGATGGCCAGTAAGTTGATAGGTAGGATGAAAGACTACAAGGTACAAAGATTCGGACATAGCTTGCCCCCACAAAAGCTCACGTTGGAATTTGGTTTCAGTTGTAGCAGTGGTGAAGGGTAGGGCCTTTGGGGGGGATTCATGTCCCATTTCTCACGAGAATGGATCAGTTCCTGCTCTCCAGGTCACCTCTCTTGCCCCCCTCCCCTCTCCATGCTCCTTCTTGTCCCATTGCTATTGCCATGTTATGATGGAGCATGAGGACCTTGTCAGATGTGGCTTTCTGATCCTGAACTTCCCAGTCTTCCAAACTATAATCCAAACAAATCCCTTAGGAATTCAGTTATAGCAATGGAAGTGTGCTAACCGTGTATGGAAAGGGAGAATGGAACTGTACTAACGGGCTCAATTGAAAAGGAGGAGTCAGGACTAGTATGGAACTTTCTGATTTAGATGAGTGGGTAGAGGATGCTCTCTTTAAGTTGTCTGGATCTTAAATGATCTCCAAATTACATAACAGTAAACCATGTGAGATGGTAGAACCTTTAGATAGAAGTTATATCATTTGGGATATAAAGAGAATGTTGGGACATTAGTCCCTCCCGGCACTGTCCCCTTCATCTGGCCAGCCACCCCCACCCCCTTAACAGTAACCTAGTCTGATCTCAAGTTCTGAGCCTCCTGCTCCTAAGTTAGGCTACAGGCATGTGCTGCTTTTACTAGGTATTCCTTTCTTTCATTGTGTCTCATAAGCTGCTGTATAACTTCCTGAGGAGACATGAACAAATGGCTACTCACCACAGATAGGGAGGGAACAAGCAATAGGGTTAATTTGTTTTGCTTTGTTTTGTTTTTGAGACAAGGTCTCTATTATGTAGCTCTGGCTGTCCTGGACCTCACTTTGTAAACCAGGCTGGTCTCAATCTCACAAAGATCCACCTGCCTTTGCCTTTTGAGTGCTGGGATTAAAGGCACATGCTACCACTCCTAGCCTTTATTAGGGTTACATACAGAAGCATACACAACTCAAGGCAAATGCATCATTGAAATCCCACCCTAACCTGGGTGTTGACTCACAAAAGCTCTTTGAGTGACTTGCAGCAGCTCAACAGGTCAGAGTCCTTTCTCACCCCATGCGTATATAGTCTAGTGGAAGGAGAAACCTTGTAAACCCTAAGTTTCAGGAACTTCCTGAGACTTACCAATTATTTTATTTCCTAGTCTTAATAACCCTCCCTGCAGAATGGAAATGCTTCAGTTCAGAGGTTAATGCTGTATCACACAAGGTAGATGGCGATCCTCCACCATGTACTTTGGCAGAGATGGGCCACAGACCCAAAATACAGGGTCCAGCAGTCATGGACTGACACTTCTTAAACTCTGAGCCAAAATAAACCTTTCTCCTTTTGTAAAGGTTTTGTGACTGTCGAAGGTTCAATAGACAATTTACAGAATTATTTTCTATACAAAGTTGTGAATCTTTGTGATTGGTTATCTTCTATCAAGCAACTGTGAGAGCACTCCCTTCAAACCTTCTGGCTTTTTTCTTCATTGTCATAGTTAGAATGGTCACAGATGACTCACCTTTGGTTCTGACAACTTCACTATAATCTTATGAAATTATTTGATGACCTAAAGGGATTATTTAGTGTGAATTTAGACTGCTCATGCTGTTTTTCAAATATATCAAGTATAAATCTCTCTTCAAACAAAAGAAATGATGGGTATTTAGTGATATAATTTTTCTTCCTGTCTTGTTTTGTGTGTATGTGTGGTGTGTTTGTGTGTGGGGGGGGTATAATCACCCCTCTGTGTGCACAAGGAAGCAAGAGGAAGGTGTTGTCTTAATTATGGTTTCTATTGCTGTGAAGAGACACCATGACCATAGCAACTGTTATAAGGGAAAACATTTAATTGGGGCTGGCTTACAGTTCAGAGGTTAGTCCATCGTCACCATGTATGTGGGAAGCATGGTGGCACACAGGCAAACATGGTGCTGAAGAAGTAGCTAAGAGTTCTACATCCAGATCCACAGGCAGCAGTAAGAGAGAGATACTGGACCTTACTTGGGCTTCTGACACCTCAAAGCCCACCCCCAGTGACACACTTCCTTTAACAAGGCTACACCTAATCTCTCTCGAGTAGTGTCACTCCCTATGGGGACCATTTCATTCAAACCGCTACAGGTCTCAAATGTCTTCCTCTATCATTCTTCACTTTTTGTTTTCTTTGGACAGAATCTTCTCATAGTTCCAGGCATGCTGGCTGGCCAGCAAGCTCCCAGCATTAACCTGTCTTGCTCCCCAATGCTGAGATTACAGGTACTCATGGCCATGCCTGGCCTTTATGTGAGTGTTGGAGATTTTAACTTGGGTCCTCTTTTTTTCATAGCAAGAGCTCTTACCCACTGAGTCATCTCCTCAGTTCCCATTTTATGATTTTCTTGAGCAGCCTCCCTGTCTAGCCCAGCTGGCCTTAAACTGTTGGTCCCCACCCACCCCCTGCCTCAGCCTCTGAGCACTAGGATCACTGGTGTGCACCCCCAAGCTGGCTCTATGGAACCACATTGAAATTCTCTAACTTACCATCATTTTATTTAGTTCAGTCTCAATATGAACTGAAGATGACGTATCTTCTGCATCAATGATTGCCTTACCTATTTGAGATTATTCTTAATGTGTAGCATTCTTAGGTGCTATTATGAACTTTTAATCAAGTAAAGACTTAAACTCCTGATTGCAAGTGGCTTGTACCATACTCCTTTCTATAAATAAATAGATAAATAAATAAAATGCCAGCAGCAGTTTTTGAACAAGGTAAGCAATAAGAAGACCAACTTTCCATTCATAAAGTATGCAGATTCACTGGGAAAAGATGAGTATAAATGACATAACCTCAACATAAGCAACTATTATTCTATTTTGAGAGGAAATGCATCTTTGAGAATCTAATAAGAACACAGACTTTGCTCAGAATAATTTTGCACTCAGTTTCTTGGGATCATTATTTGAGAACCCATTGTTTAAGTCAAATCAAGTAACAGCCTTCAGGCAGGGAAGGGGCCCTTTCACAATATATACTATACTGCAAGAAAGGAAATTCCCAGCTTTTCTAGTGACTGCAATTTCTAACCATAATGCTGATATAATTAATTCCTTTACAGTATATGTCCTTCAGCATAATTTTCCAGCTTTCATAATTATGTATTGGAATTGAACCACAAAGGCCAACTAGGGTGAGATAAACATCCATAACGCATGCATGTGTATATAAAATGTTCCTGTTATGTGTGTGTACTTGTAATTAGAGATTGACCCTGTCTTTGATAGGGCTGCCTGAGCAATGGAATTCTGTGGGCAGGCAGGAAGGGAAATGGTGTTCTGGAAACTCACAGTCATTGGCTTTACCTATTGTCTAGGTAGGATAGCCTCTCCTACAGAAAAATCACAGATTTTCTTTCAGAGCCCTCTAGTGGAATGGGTCAGACCCAGCAAGATACCCTCTCCCTACCGGTAGTGGTTTTAAGTACGTCTGAAAAGGTCCCTTCATAGCGAGATCTGGGCATGTTTGCTTGGATAACTGATATAGTGGTTTGAATGACAATGGCCCCCGCAGGGCTCAGTCCTCAGTTGGTGAAGTGTTTGAGAAGGATTATAAGGACTAGGAGGTGTGGCATTTTTGGAGTAGGTGTGGCCTTGTTGACAGAAGTGTGTCACTGGAGGTGGGCTTTGAGGTTTCAAAAGCCCATATTAGACACAGTGTCTCTCTTTCTGCCTGATGGCTGTGGGACAGAA